AGAGAAGGGTAGTCCCACAGCAGCCCCCAGGACGCTTCCCCCAGTCCCCATGGTGGAGGAAGGTGGACCGGCTCATCCTTAGATAAGTCGATCGCACACTCAGGATCCAGAAGAATTTCAAAGCAGTGCTTTACTTTGGGTTCCAGCCACGCCTTCTCATCCTTTCGGAGAATATTCACAGGTATGTTCAGGAATGGAGTCTCTTTACCATTTACCATGTCTTCTCACCCAATATGGGCCTTCACTTCAGCTTTCCGGGGCAGCTCCACACATCCACCCCTTCCCGCAGTCCCTAACCCTAAGCCCTCCTCTTTAGACCCTCTCTCTTTCCTCTTCTGGGTAATCTGGTCCACGGGATTCCACCTCTTTTCCGTAACCTCCAGTTTCAGCCATTCAGTTTATCATGTTCCACTCAGATGAAGCGGGGAAGGGGGTATATTGGATCCTGCTGGTAGCGCATCTACCAGCCCCTGGCGGAGGCTTCTGCACAGCCAACCTCCTTCGCCCCCTGGCATATCACAGCCTTAGCACCTTTGCTAGAAGAATCCTTTCCGCCTCCTCAAAGTTGAGCTCTGTGTTAGTCAGCTGATTACCCACCAGAATCCTCTTCTTCTAAATCTAAAGCAGCAGGGTTTTAGTGCGACGCGGCCCCGAGGCCACATTCCCTGAGTGTGGGCCTGTTGCTGATTTCTCTCCAAGGGAGGGGAGCGATGTTCGCCGTTTCCAGGCCTGGACCTTAAAACAATGCACGTGCACCCACCAACCTGGAGCACAGACTCCTGGCAACCGTGTTTTGACGATGCAGGGTCTGGGGGAGGGGCAATGATTTTCACCATCCTGTGCCTCTCAACAGCTCAAAGAACAGAGCCGCTCCGCTGATCTGGGTCATCCATGTCAGAACTGTAAGCTAGAGAGAAAAACATTTATTCTTCCAACCACAGTATTGTTTGGTCTCTTACTGTAAGTAATACAAGTTTCATTACCAAAATGTCTCTTTGTCTGCTAGTTGAGTGGGAAGGACCCTCCCCCTGTAAAAAGATACATTTTACAATGTTGTCCATCTCTTTAAGTGCCAATTGAGCATAAAATTACTGCCCTGTGGGGACTTCCCTGGTGGTCCAGTGGTTAAGATTTCACCTTCCAATGCAGGGGGTGCAGGTTCAATCTTTGGTCAGGGAGCTAAGATCCCACATGCCTCACGGCCAAAAAACCAAAACATAAAACAGAAGCAATAATGTAACAAATTCAAGACAGACTTTAAAAATGGTCCACATCAAAAAAAAAAAAAATCTTAAAAAAAAAATTACTCCCCTGTGGCTTCCCTTCCCACAAACACTCCTCACTCTTCTTTACCTGCTCCAGGTCAAGGTGAGTTTTCCCTGGGAAGGTGACAAATGGTAGCTCTTCCCTCAACCACCCCTCCTCCGAGCGGGCAGACACATGGTCTACCAGCCGGCTGCCCAGAGCCCTCGCATCTCTGCAGCTGCTGTGCAGTGAAGCTTCTTCTTCTGAACTCTGCTTTATTACAGCAAAACCCTCTAAGTTCCATTTCACCAATGTCTGGAAGGCAAAGACTAAGGCTATAAATAAAATAGGTCCTACTGCCTCTCCTTCAGGGTTTCTGTTGGTTGTGACATAATCTCTTGAGGCAAATTGATGGTTTTAATATTAAACTGAAATACCAAGAGTCAACAAAGAGATCATAGAATTGAGCAAAAAGAATAAACCTTTTCAGAAGGCGTATTTTTCCAGCTCTTTGGATGGGGTTTGTTTGGGCCACAGGAAAATTTGTTTCTTTCAGGTATTGAGGTAGACAAGATAAATACCTTTATAAAGACTAAGAAAGCCAGAGAGTCTAAACACGGTTGGGGTTTTTTTTTTTCTTTTGTTTTTTGTTTTTTTGGCCATGTTGCATGGCATGCAGGATCTTAGTTCCCTGCAGTGGAAGTGCAGAACGCTAACCACTGGACAACCAGGGAATTCCCTAAACGTGTTGAATTGGAAAAGAATCTGAAACTCCAAGCAGAGGTTGGGTAGGGTCCCTGCTTAGCCTCCCCCAATTCATCCAGATTCCTCCTTGGCCCCAAGTCAGGAATAGCTCTGGCATTCCTTGGCCGTGATGAGCTCTTGCTCCACTCTGACCTTGCACTAGGTATACCATCTCTACCTAACAAGTCAAGGGCTGAGGGGGTAGCGGTTGTAGCTTTGTAACTTCATGTGCAGCTCAACCTTGTACCCTCATCCCATCTCACTCTTTTTCTTTTTTTTCCAGTTCAGTCTAACTTTAATTAAAAACCACCAGTCTTTTAACAACATTCACAAACATTAACTGTCCCAGCACTAGAGGAAAACATAATGATGACAAGATATTCTAGATGGAGGGACCCTGGGTAGAAGGTGTGATCAAATCATAAATGGCACCATCAATGTATGGAAGGCATGTAATAAGGTCTAAAGGGAAATATTTTATTAATTAAATCATGTATAAATAATGCCTTGATATTGCATTATGATCTGATGCTTTTAATCACTCCAAATGTATGTTAAAGTGTGATTTTTTAATTATAAAAAGAAATCCTACTCAGGACATTTTAAAGGCAGCTATGATACTCTTCATAATAGATCTAAAAATCACTCTACTTAGGTGTCTAACTTATTTAGTACATTCACTGTTTGTCTTTCATCTTTCATCATTGACTTGAAGTTGTTTTCTTTCTTCTTATTTTAACCATATTCTCCTAAAGGCCTAAAGTTTCAAACTAAAGGACTGATGTAAACAATTTCGCGTGTGGTTGGGCAACTCATACTGTGAAGACCCAATGCCTTTAAAATATAAAGTGAGGAAAACAATCTCACACTTGGACCCCAGCCAAGGGCTGATTCCGTGTCCCTGGGAGACAGCCCATTGTGGTGAAGAACTGTAGACACTGGAGCCAGTTAAACCTGGGTTTGAATTCTGACTCTGGCATTTAGCAAAAGACCTATGGGCCAGCACCTCTATCTCACCAACCGGACCTGCGCGCAGCCCAGTGTCTCATGGAAGTGGGCTGGCTCATCTCATCTTTTGTGGCAGGGTCTACGGAAGGGTCTTAAAATACTCTGTTTCAGAAAATAGGCTTGACACTTATTGCAAAGGCTTATAAAGGTGAAAATAAAAACCTAATCCTAAAAGTGTGATGTCTAAATGACATTTTAAAAGGAGGACTCTTAAATTTGATGAGAAGCTTGAGAGGCTTCAAAGAAAGAAGGCTGAGTGCAGTGTAGGTTCATGGCATGTATCGTCGGGGCCCCTCCATGCATCCACGCCCCTCAAATATCATTTATAGAGGAGGCACCTGAGAAGGTAAAGGCCTGAGCCTCACAGTTTCTTGAGGAGTCTGGAGTTGGTATGTGGAATTTTTTTTGTTTGTTAGTTTTTTAATTTTATTGAAGCATAGTTGATTTACAATGTTTTGTTAACTTCTGCTGTACAGCAAAGTGATTCAGTTATACATATATGTGGGTATATATACATATGTATATACATTCTTTTTCATATTCTTTTCCATCATGGAATATCACAGGATGTTGAATAGAGTTCCCTGTGCTATACAGTAGGACATTGTTGTTTATCCATCCTATATATACTAGTTTGCATCTGCTAATCCCAAACTCCCAGTCTATCCCTCCCCCACCCCCTCTCCCCCTTGGCAACCGCAAGTCTTTTCTCTATGTCTGTGACCCTGTTTCTGTTTCACAGACATATTCATTTGTGTCCTATTTTAGATTCCACACATATGTGATATCATATGGTATTTGTCTTTCTCTTTCTGACTTACTTAGCTTAGTATGATAATCTCTAGGTCCATCCATGTTGCTGCAAATGGCATTATTTTAGTCTTTTTTTGGCTGGGTAATATTCCATTGTGTATATATATATATATATATATAT